ATTTTTTTTTTAATCATTTACTAGTAATTTAATTAATGCGCAATCATACGTGAACAAGGAGGATTCCCAATTTAAAAAAAAAAAAAAAAAAAAAAAAAAAAAAAAAAAAAAAAAAAAAAAAAAATCCATACCTATGATTTTTGGGGGGGCATTCAGCGCACAATGACGCTCGGTGAGTGAATTTCATTAAGTTTTTTATTTTTTTCAGTCTCGCGCACGCCATTCGCGCGTGTGCATACAATGCCTGTTTTGCTCCCTAATCTTCTTCCTCCTCTCCCTATTATGCTTTCTTCTCCTCCTCCGTGTAAAATGGTCCTCCTTTGCTTCTTCTTCCTCCTCGTGTTCCCCCTTCCTCCTCTTCTTCCTCAATTTCGTCAAACTTCTGCCTCCATTTCTTCTTCCTCCTCTTCCTCCTCTTCCTCCTCTTCCTCCTCCTCGTCTTCCTCCTCTTCGTCCTCTTCTTCCTCTTCTTCCTGTGTCCTTCCGCTTGTCCTCCTCTTCTCCTCCTCTCCTCCTTCCACCCTCCTTCCTCCTCTTCCTTTTACTTCTACCCTTGATACTCCTCTTTTTCCTCAAGCTTCGTATTCAGACTTCTTCCTCTTCTTCCTCTTTTGGTCCTCCCCGTCTTCCTCCTCTACGTCTGCCTCGTTTTCCACGTCTTCCTCCTGTCCCCGCTGCTTTTCCTCCTCTTCATTCTCCTCATCCTCTACTCCTCCCCACCCTCCTTCCTCCTTACCTCAGTTCTACTCGTTCTGACTCTCCTATCTATCCCCCTTTCCTCCTTCTCCTCACTTTTTCTCCTATTCCTCTTCCCCTTGCCTCCTCTGCACAAGGCCCTTCCTCGCTGCCGCCAACCACCCACCCATTCTTCTCCTCAATGCCCACCCCATAACCATCATCCTCATCCTCATCCTCAACAAAGCCGCCACCACACCATCATCATCATCATTAGTCTTTCCCTCCTTTCTCCTCTCCCACCACGTCCTGCTCCCCGTTTCTCTCACCCATATCATCATCATCATCATCATCATCATCATCATCACCACCTCCACAATCACCTCCACAATCACCACCACCATCATCGCACTCCCAACTACAATCTTCTTTCGAATCGACAGCGGTAATCCGCAGTGCACATTCACAATGTGATTTTTCAGCGAAACAGCGTTTACGCAATTTGTGTCTGCCGTGAAAGGCACATTGCTCATGACCGATCTCACTCCCACGCACCAGCGGTTCCCACTCGCCACTCGCCATTGATTGGCAATCAGGACCAATCAATCACAAGACCCGTGCAACCGACCACTGAGCAAATCACCGTGCAATCTCTCTCTCGACAAGTGTGTTTTGCGGCCATAGACACGTGTCATCCTTCCATTGTAATCGAATTCATCGCGCGCTTACACCAGGTATATGTATAGACACGTGTCATGCTTCCATTGTAATCGAATTCATCGCGCGCTTACACCAGGTATATGTATTTGACTATCTTCAAGTACGGCCATGGAATTCTGATTTGCATTCATTATCACCAAGCAGTCTCTATAGTTACCGCTACCAGACTATGGTTACCGCTGCATATAGCTGGATATTTTTCTACCTACACCAGACTATAGTTACCGCTGCATATAGCTGAATATTTT